TATTTTTTCCGAAAAATATGCTTTAATTCTCGAGATATATGAAAAATGCTGAAAATCACGCAAAAAAAGTCAGATTTTTTCAGTACCTTTCAGTATTTTTCGTATACCTCGAGAAAGAAAGCATATTTTTCGGAAAAAATAATTTATATTCTGAGATGGGGCTGACGTTTCTCTGATAAAATTTTGAGGTCGATCGGACCATTTTTTCGATGGGTCACAATGTGACCCGATGAAAACTGGAGTTTTCCAGAAAACTTATATAAGAACATCTCAGAAAATTCTGGGCAAAAATATATCAATTTTCTTTTTCGATATTCTATCACTGTTGTAAATTTGAGCTCAATCGGACGTTTGCTCCGCATTTGGCAACAAGGTGAAATAATAGTGGGGTACTCTTAAGAGAAAAGTCTTCCAGCTCTTATGTGATCTCCGATCAACCATCTTAGAAGAAAATTTCTGAAAACTTCTGAGTGGTAAGCGATAGTGAGGTAAAATATATCTGGTCATCACGCTTTTAGATGGTCGACATTGTACAGTATTGCGCTTAACTTTTGTATCTAATTTATGTCAATCCGAATGGAATAACTATTTATTTCAATGAATAAATAATCAGGATAGTGCAGTAATACTATATACAGTGGCTCCAAAAATTGATCATACGGATGTAATTTCAATTTTTTTTGGGTTTTACCATAGGGAATGGCGAAAAAACATTTTTTGGACCTTTCGTAAAACAGATGTAACTCAGTCAAAAAACGCCGTACAGAGCTTGAAGACGTCTTATTTTGTAGAAAATTAGTTGCTGTATTACCCTATGTGATTAAAACAAACTTTTATTATCGTATTCTGGATGCTGAACACATAGGTGTTTGGTTTTCTGGAGACCCCGGATTTGAAAATATAGTGAGAGTTTTATTTTCCTCAAATATTTGTTGCCAATAATTTTTTTATCCAAATCATTATTTGGATTCTTTATAACAGTTACCACTACGGAAAAAAATCGAAATTACATCCGTATGATCAATTTTTGGAGCCACTGTAAAAACAAATAACTTGACTAAGCTAGTGGAACGAAAAATTGAACCTAGACTAATGCATGTATTAATAAAATAAGAAAAAATCGTTCATATAAATAATTTGTTCTCATTTGTTTTGTCTCATATAAATAACGATTCATGAGTGTGAATCTTTCAGGACGAAAAAGCTGATCGATTCTTCAAGTATTTTGTAAGAGCTCTTAGAAGAACACTTTCTGTTGCTCATACAAAAGTCAACGAGAAAAGTGAGACTCCACGCGTATATAAAATAATACCTCGATCTACAAGAGAAAGCAAAATTTTTGGCTTACATGCAGTGAACAATTCTTGCCTGCTTCCTTGTACATGGATACAAACAAAGTCCTAGTTTTGGAAGAAAGGTAAAATGTGTTTTGGGTCACAAAACAGTTATTGGGAGAATGGTTATTAGCAGGAGAAAGTAACTAATTAAGGAAGCAGAGGAAATGTGTATTACCCGGTTTGTAGTTATATGACTTATCTAAAACAAAAAATTACCTTAAAATATAAGCTAAAATGACAAAAAATGTCTGTTCTATTTGTAGGTTTTTAGCACATCTGAAAAGAAAAAATGTCATAAGGAAACCATATTGCGTTTTACTTAGAGTCATGAACGAATTTCTTATCTCATAGAATAATTATCTTCAAACACAAAATTTCGAATACAACTAGCTCGTTTGAACTTACAATGAAATTTTCTATTTGCACGAGAAGGTAAACGCGACAAAGTGGCTCCAGCACAAAGCCGCCTCCAACAGCCTTTAGGAAGCGTCTTCACGATGTATAGTGGCATCTATGTCAATTCTGTGGATCGACTCGGCTCAGCTGTGCGAGTCAAATCACCTCTTGTGATAAACACAAAGCGAAATATTTTGCAGAAACTTCATCAAGGTTCTTCGAAGAATTTTTAAGCATGGCTTTTCACCGTTTTGCGGCCGAAAATTTTTGTAACACAGATGAAAAAAAAGGACGGGTTTCTATAACGAATTACATGCTTTTCATTCTACACGGCAAAATCTGTACTCTTTAGAGCAAGAGTTTCAAAATAAAAGAAGACATGAAATCTTCATTTGCAAAAGATGAAAGTGCTGTTTTTCTATAATTAAATTACGTTTTAAAATTTTGCAATTGATGGTTCCTGTGCACTGTAAAATCCAACCTACATCATAATTTTTACTAAATATTGTAAAAATATTAGCCTTGTTGGTACTTGATTTGAAGCTTGATTAATTGCTTATTTGAGCATGATCAACACATACATCTTCTCAATCAGAAAATTCAACTCCAAGTTAATACGAGTATCAAAAACACAAATAGCTGTTCTTCTAAAATGCAAACAGTGCCATACTATGTTCTAAAAAATGTTCATCCACGACGCTTCTATCAAGGCTACATTGTACTTTATTCTCCTATATATCGTCGTTTTATTGTTTTCTTCTTCAATTGTTTTAGACCAATAATATCATTCTTTATTATGAAATAAATTGCATCATGGCACACTCTATTTTCTCCATAATTTGCGTGTGGGTGTGATGAATCTATCTTTTTTTTAGATAAACGACCTTTGCATTCATCATTTGAAAATGCGTTTTTTTTTCTTTCTTTCTTCCGAACAACTATGATAGGTTCAATCAGAGTTCGAAAAGAAGAAAAAAAGTTTTTCAAGTTAGTTTATACAAGATACAAAAATGTGTGTACGTATATGTAACCGTGATGTTTTTGCCACTCACTCATTATTCTAAAGTCCTACGTGCTTAAAAACAGAACACAACTGAATGAAAAGGAAATAGATTGACTTTTTTCCTTTTTCTCTTCGTCATGTGACAAAGGCAACAATATAGCAAGTTGGAAAACTTTCGTCTTTGCTAATGTTCATAATCATCACACACGATCTTATCTGTTATTCATAGAGTAAAATTTTACGAACACCGCATAGTGTCTCGTTTCTACAAACAAATATGTATGTAAAAAAGTACTTTCTAATACTATTAAACATCTGTTCTTCTATAGATGATAATTAAAGCATGATGCACTTGAACTGTAAACGTATCTTTGAAGATCAACCCTATAAGTTTTCTCTGTTACAACAAATTCTAGACAATTAAGTATTGGTAAAAATCAAATAATCTTCGAAAAATACATTCGGTTCTCATCCGCTTCGTTGACAATCGAAAAAGATTTTTTTGACGAACAAAAATTCGATTTTTATACTTTTTTTCGTTGATACCATTTTCAATTTTTCAGAAATGAAAAAACCGTTATTTTTAGGGAGCAGTGAAGTTTGATTTTGACTTATTTAATATTTAGAGTTTTTCAGAAGAATATACATTAAAATAGGAACCTACAATCCAGCGCAGTCCCTAATAAAAGTCCTATGAGTTTCGTGGCAGGATTCGAGACATATCCTGCCAGTATCCTACTAAATTTTGCTTTACTTTCTTAGGATTCTAACAAATCCTATGGAATCCTAATGAAATCAGGTATAACCGAAAGTCATAGGATCTCCTAAGATTCTGTTAGAATCCTAAACAAACTTAAGTGAATCCTAGTATAATCCTAGGATTTTAGGAACCTGTTAGGAACTTATTAGGTGGATCCTAAATGTTAGGATCCTGTAAGATCCTCGTAGTAGATAGACAGGAAGTGTGTAGGATTTTGTTTAGGAGTAAGGGTAAGACTTATCGCTCAAAAGTTTTATCATACATGAAGAATTATTTACAGTACACAGGCAGAGCAATTATTCAAGCATCCATTTGAGAAAGGCATAAAAACTAATAAACTACGCTCTTTCGTCTACTTCAGCACACCAGCTCAGATGAGAAAGACTGACTAAGCACGCAAAAACGCTAGAAAAGCTCATAATTACTCATCTCACAAAATAACGGACTACGATATTTTCCGGATGAATTTTGATCGAAAAAATGGTAGAGACTCACGGCTTAGAGTAATCGACAGACAAGATCAAGGGCGGCGATCAGTAAAAAGGTCAAATCCCAATCATTACCTGCAGGTGGTGTACCTTAAGAGCGAAAAAAAAGGATTGCTATTCTATAAAAAAAAATTTAATTTTTACTCCAACAGGTGGGTTCGAACAGCCGAACTTTATTCCACAAACCTACGCAAGTTATAGATCTCCATCTACCGTCGTTCAGGCACTACACGATAAAAATGTGCAGGTTAGCTGTTTGCTCAGTCGTGACTGTACTCTACTCTGTAGGATGGGATATGCAGGATCGGATAAGTGCGTCCAAAGATCTTGAGGAAAACCTTTTAAGAAATCATAGTACTGATTTTTTTAAAACTTTGACCAAGGTCTAGGGTATGATGCAGATAAAATATGTTGAAATTTCGGAATAATATGAACTGAATTTTGCTGCATTATGTGTTTTTTATTTTTGGCAAAAATAGCCCGAAATAATCTAATATAGGATTCCTGCAGATTACGTGGTTAAGTTTGATCTTTCTATTAATCAATGTTCTTGCTCTTGTCGTTGTATCGATTGTTGCAAATCACAACATTCAACATTTTTCTATAAAGGTCTATTAAAAAAGAAACGGAATTCATTATATTTAGAAATGAATAGTGGAATAATAGTTATAGTTCATAATGTTTAATCAAGTTTCATAAAAATGTCTCAAATAACGAATTGGCGTGCTAGCAATACAGCATCACAACGACCATTATTAGAACGTGTGGATGAAGTAGATGATGATGTATCAGCATCACGTTATTCAACTAGTGGTACAGGTTGCATGAAATATTTTGGTGTCAAATCATATTTGCACAATTTTTATGATAGAACAGATCAGCATTCCGAATCAGATGACTCACAGTATAGGTAAGCAGGAGCGTACTTCTTGTAAGAACTCTTATATCTATTTGCTTCTTTAGATATTTGACACTTTCGCGGCGAAAGAAATTCTCAAGTAGCTGGTGGAGAGTGACCTTGTGTCTTGGAATATCTTTCGTTTTAGTTGGTTTTATCAGTTTATCAATTGGGTTTTTATTACCACGTAGAAATATTGAAATATCATCGGATGCATCTTCGATAACTATTGATCGAAAAGCGTTGAATTATAATCAAAGTCTTGAATTTTGTCAAATTATTGGAGTTTTTGTGTTTGCTCTTGGAGGTTTCTTATTCATTGTGTCATTACTGTTACCAACATTTTTTAATAACTATTGTGCAGCAGAAGTAGATGAATTGAATCATTACACCGATCCATTTAAAGTAAGATATTTACATTTTCATGCTTGTATTTCTAGTTTTCTTCGTTTCACACTAGTTGCCATTGCCCCAAAACTCTGTTACAAAAAATATAATACCTGTTACAAATACGTTGAAATCGATACAACCCAATTATCGAAAAGATGAATCAAGATTAACAACACACGGAGTTGTACCAATTCAATCGTCTTAAACAAATTATTCATGCCAAATTATTAATGTTGCTTTGTTTTCTTTGCTAAAAAGTATTTGTTATCTGCTGTTTAGATTCAAATAGAGATATACATGTGTGAGAAGAAGAATGAAATAAAACAAAGATGGTGTTTAATTAATTTCTCGGATTTTGCCAAGATAACGCACGGGATTAATGCCAAGTAAAACGAGTTTGAATACAGCTAAACTATTTTTGTTAAAAACTTCTCACATTGATTTTTTCACTCCGTGTTTCTGAATTTCTAATTAAACTTGCCGTCTTATTTATGGTTTTTTTATCTAGACCAATATCATTTGTCACAATCAGAAAATAAACTGATGTATATGTTCATTTTATTAGACAACATGAATATTAGTGGCGTAGCCACAGGTGGGCCGGGGTGGGCTAAGTCCACCCAAAAACTGTTTGAGCCCACCCTCAAGATATTTGAGTTTATCCGGAAACATTTTTTAGGTGTCTCAAGAAAATTTGTGATATAAGATATGAAAGATATCACATCACATTGTTTTTTGAAGTATAAAGATTTCGATCAATTCTGTAGCGGCTACTTATTGTTATTTTTAGATACCTGTATCTCATTCTCCGTGCCTTCTCTTATCTCTCATCGTTCCCTATGTTAGGCGTCTTTTCTTGTTCTCATATATTCTCTACGTCCTCTAATCACATGTTCTACTCACCATATTTCGTGTCTGTTTTTCATTCTTCTCACGCTCTTTTCTCGTATGTTCTTCATAGTCTCTTTTCATATGATATCAGCTACCGTGTCCCTTCACTATGTCTTTTCTCTCTGCAATATGTGATCCACTAGGTTATTAAGTAGTAGTTGGTACATCTCTATTCGGTTTTTTAAATATGTATTCTTGTCAGCTCCCCTCTCGTTCAATCAGTATTTTTCTTTCATTCTGCTTTATTCGTTTCTTCTCACACGTGTCAAATATGTTTGGATTTTGCTACAGGCTAGAGAAAACTTACACCACCGTTTCTGGGTTTCTGAAAAATAGCAGGGCTGAGCCCACCCTGCTAAAAAATCCTGGCTACGCCGCTAATGAATATGTTTTCCATCTCGTTGCATAAATGGCAGCAGACTGCGTGAGGGAGGCGACATGTATGTTCGGAAACTTTAACTCTAATCGAATTTGTCTTAGATGGGTGAATGAACTTAGATGGGTTGAATTATTATCGTACCGGGTACGAGTACAACTTTTTACCGTAAGAAATTTTAGAAAATAGATAAGTGATCTCACTGAGCAGTTTGTGCACAAAAAATGTTTTACACAAAAAACATTTTATCTAAGAAGGTAAGTAATTATTGTTTTTTGGTCTTGCTGTTTATTTATTGGGTTGGAGAGGGATTAGGATTGGCATTTTGAACGGTAGATTAGGTTCGGACTATGTTTTGTTAAGCTGCATAGGTCTATAATGACTTTTCCACAAAGAAATATAACGTGATATATTCTTATGATCTCAGACGTATAGCGACCACGAATCACGATCTAATACTCATCCTTAACATTTGGTAAATTAGAATTTCGACAATAATAATAACGGATCAATCATCGTAAGTTTATCTTACTTAGCTTTAAAACACCAATGTTGAAGTATCAAGGTCGTTTAGATTCCCACAATAATTACTCGAAGAAAAGAATTACTAACCAGTAACTGAATGGCACACAACTAAGTTTATTTTCTCCGATCGATAGCAGCAAACAAACAAAAAAAATAAAACTTACACAAAAATAAAAAATACGATGATCGGACTTATATAATTTTATTCTCGAAATTCTAGAGGAAAGATAATATTGACGAAATTCAGGTGGCGAAATTTCGGTTATCGAAATTCTAGTAATCCTAACATTCGTACCAGCTTGTATCACTATTCCTTTCCGAAGTGGTTATGTCGCATTCGTGTTGTGTATGTCAAGGAGTCTGATAACGATTCTAACGGGTGTTCCAGAATAAATCGGTCACTTAGTATTTTGCTCATATCTTAGTTGAATTGTGTCCCCTAAGCTTTGTTGTTTTCTTAAAAGATGTGCCGTAAAATTCTCTACAAAAAATATATTAAATATTTTTCTATATATCGTAAAGATGAAAGAATATAGAAGAAATACTGCGAAGCTTCAATCTCGATTACTTTGCAATTCAAGAAACAATGAAAAAAAATATTTTGAAAAAATATTTGAGCATGGTGTCA